TGAGAAAGCAGAAGCCGTGACCAAAACTCAGCATTGGAGAGGGAAGCAGGAGGATCCCCAGAACCACAGCAGGCACTGTCTGCTCCCTGCTTCCCGTCCTGCCCACGGAGGACCCACGCCTGCCTGGTTCCATGGAAGTACGCCACATCTGGGGTAAGACTGACGGGAACACGTCTTTATCCCAAACCACGTCCCAGCGGAGGCCCCTCAGTGGACACAACCTGGGCTTGCTCTTCTGTTTTTCTAACTCTGTGAGCCTTCGTGCTTCCTGACTTAGGGCGGTGGAGGAAGAGGAAACGCCAAAAATATGACAAGATCAGCTTAGTTCGTGGCATTTCCAAGGGACAGGAACTGCAGGGAGCAAAAGGCCTCTGTCCCTCTACAGCCTCGCAAGCTGGTGGCCAAAACTAATGTGGCTCTCCAGAGGTCTCAGGGAACCGTGTTTCTTGGGAGCATCTGGGACAGGAGCCCATTTTCTCTAAATAACTTAGAGACTTTAGAAATCTGGTCTTAATTACCCCTTCACAGCAATGTGGCTACACAACGCATCCTGGCTGATTCCCTTACTCTCAGACGGTGGAGACACCCAAACTTATGCCACCAGCCGGCCTGGCCCTCAGTTACATTTTTTCCTTAAGGATTCAGATAGATTTGTCTCTATCGAATCACACAGCCCCCTAACCTCCCTGGTGGCCAATGGCCTGCTTTGGGGACACAGCGGGCTTAGCTTAGAAACAGTAACTGTGGCTTTGGATCCAAGATTTCAGCTACAAAAAGCACAAGTGCTGGGCTTCACGCCGTGCCAGGAAATAGACCATGAGCTGACTTTAAATGTGGGGACCCGCCTCCAACTGCCTGTCCCTTCCTAGGAGAGGAAGTGGGGCTAGGTGAGCTGGTGCCAGGATTTCCACATTGGTAAACTTAATTTACTCATAAGGCAGGCTGGAAAGAGTTCGCGTCCTGAGGTGGAATTCCAGTGAATAATCTAGCTGCTGCTTGAAGAAAGTACAGGGAAGTGGATCCTCAATGCCACCTCCTCACAGACAACCTGCCAGAGAGAAGTGTTCCAGTATGGAATGAATACGTGGGAAGACCAAATACTCACTAGAGAGCTGACTGCACCCACTTACAAGTCACTGGTACCACTGGAAGCGATCCCTGACCTGCCTCCCCACTGGCTCAGGAGTTTCCCCCAGAGCTCCCATGACATCCTCCTCACTAGCCCCAAGGAGGTCCACATCCCAATCCCCAGGACCTGGGAAAGTGTTTAGTCTGGTGACAAAGGGAAGTTAAGATGGAATTAAGGTTGCTAATCAGCTGATCCAAAAGAGGGCGAGTAGCCTAGACAATACACTCACTTCAAGTCGAAGAGGAAGCCAGGGGACTGAGGGGGTTCAAGACGAGGACAAAGGCTGGTGCTGCTGGCTCTGAAGACTGCAAGCTGAGCCAGGCTGGTGCCTTTAGAAGCGGAACAGACAAGGAAAGGAATTCACCCTAGAGCTTCCAGAAGGAATGTGACCTGTCGCCACTTGATTTTAGACTAATGAGGCCTATTTTGGACCTCCAGAACTGTGAAACCTGTACATTTATGTTAAGTCACTAAGTGTATAGTAATCCATTACTGCAGCTACAGGAAACAAATACACGATCATATTTCTCTTAATGGAATGTCTTTTTATTGCTATGCATATCACCCCAATCAATACAAATAATAGCTAGCATTTGTCGAATTTACACTTACTTTGAGTACTATGTGGTAGCGTAAGATACTAGAAAAAACTGACTGCTATGAACACCAAGATGAAGGGATCGGGGAGTGGGGCAGGGAGTGAGAAGCATCTTCCAGGAGATAGTGACGTGGGGACATGTTAAACGATGTGCGGGAGTGTGCCATCGAGAGAGGAAGAGGATTCCAGGCAAGGGGGACATGAGCAGATACTCGGAAAAGCGACCCAGGGGAACCTGTGCTAGCAAGTGCTCTAGTGGCTCAGCCCATTCACTTCCTCTGAGGCGCAGAGCTCATGCTCTCCCTCCTGCCTGCAGTCTGCACACAGGCCACCCGGCATCTGAGCCTTCACAGGCCAGTGCAGAGCTTGACTTTCCCCGCCACATGTTCCTCCTCTGGGCTTCCCTGTCTCTCAAGACGAAACCACGAGGGCCTCTGTAGTGGCCTCCCTGCCTCTGCTCTTTGTTCCCTATGAACTCTCCATAAAGCAGTGTCTTAAAACTGTCAATCAAAGGGCTGGGGATGTAGCTCAGTGGCGGAGTGCTAGCCCAGGATGCAGGAAGCCTAATGTGATCCCCAGCAACCCCATCCCCTAAATCTGGATCAATTCCACTGCTGAGGTTCAGCTCACCAATGCTGCTTCTGCATCGCTGGGCGGGGCGAATCTCCTGTCTGTGTTGGTGCCCCCCCCCACCTCATCTTGTGCCATTCTCCTCACGGCTCCCTTACACTCTGGCCTCCTGTCTCTGTACTCCCTGTGACATATGCAGCCCTCCAGTGCATATAGGACTGAGCAGCCCCATCCCTCTGCCTGGAAGGGCCCCCCTCCCCCTAGACTGCTCTTCCTGGACAGTTTCTCCTCCACTTTCCACCCTCAGACCAGGCCTTCCCTGGAAAACCCAGAGCCAACAGTGCGCCCTCACACTCTCCTCTGGACTCTGCTTGCTTTCCTTGCTTACACATATCACCACAACCTTCCATCTGTGAGAAGCTACCTGTCTTCCTAGCTGTCTGTCTCCTCCTGGAATGCAAGCTCCAGGAGGCCAGGGCCAATCTGCCTTTTCATCACTGTGCATCAGGACTTCACCAGGGCATAGCATGGAGCAGGTGCTCGATGTATAGCTGTTGAGCTGATTAATTAAATACAGAAGTATGTGGCTGACATTGAAAGAGGATGCTCGAAATAGCCCTATGCATCTCTGTGCGACTGGCACCTCCCACAGTGGAGCCACTCAGCAAATGTTTATTGGATGTGTGCAAAAATGACTCAATCCCAGGCGAATCTGAGGATTCGGATCCTCTGGGCAAGGCTCCCAAAGGGGTTCCCTCTGTTCCTTGGGGCTTCTTAGACAGTAACAAGTCCAGGGCATACAGCAAGTGCTCAGTAAGTGCTACCGTCACTCTTCTGTTATGTATGTGGGGATCTTCTGTACAGTCCCGAGAAAAGACCTCTGGAGCCCATGCACAACACAGCAGTGGAGAGAGAAGTGAGAAGAAATAGGGAGGGAAAACAGAAGGGGACAGTAGGATCCAGTTGAGTACAACTGAGGACTTGGTAGGGAAAGTGCAGGAACCTGGCTCCCTTCTTTCCTCTAGAAGCAGGCCGGGAGTGGGTCCACTTAGGGAGGGCTCCACTGCAATGCACACATTGTAAAGCTCACACTCCTTCTGAAAATCTGGCTCACTGTGGCTGGGGAGAGCTGGGGAGGCACAAGGAATTTCGGTTTCCCTCACCAAATGGTAAGCTTGCAAAAAAGTCCTTTCTCTCCGACATTACCACATACTGAAAATGAAAAACCAGCCACTCAGAGCGCTCATAAGGAGAAGGTGGGGGCTCCTGGGCTCACAGAAAGAGGGTGGATAATCAAGTCTCTGAACATCACGTGGTACAGGATGTGCAAAGATACTCCCCTCTTTCGGACTTGGCACCCGTTTTGTATTTCAAATCTATTTGATAGCAGAATCCCAAATCCATTTGGCATCTGAACTAGTAGGGGCTGGTGATCTTTTCAACTCCTTCTCTCAAAATGTGTAGTTTAAGATAACTCATACCTCAAAAATAGCAGCAATAACAGATGGAACAGACCAAGAGAAAGTGGTGAAGGTTATAATGCAAGAAGATGTGTCTCCAATCTGCTGCAGGCCTGGCAGGCATGTCCTGACAGTCAAAGGAGCACTGGCCTGGGAGCTTGAAGATCTGGAAACTGGCCTTTCCCCCACTGGCCACCACTTGGGGAAGGCAGGTCACCTCTCCGGACCTCACCCCGCGACAAGAAGGCGCTGAGACAGTAGTTCTCTAAGATCTTTTTTCTTTCTCAACTGTTGCTCGAGTGATTCCAAAAGACCTGCATCTTCCTAGTGCGATCCAGTGGCTTTCCACTGCCAAACAAAGACTTTAGGGTGAAGGCTGCAACCCAGGTAAAAACCGGCCTAAAAAAGTGAATTATGTGTTTTACAATCCCAAAACATTACTCAGCAGTCTGTGTCTCCTATCGTCCCAGAGTCAGTGATGCCAAGAGTAGATGGAGAAAACAGTGAAGAGAGCTCTTGGTCTTTCTGATCAGCACAGGTAAAGTGAGGTCAAGCTATGCATGGTCTGGAGTTGGCTGCCGCTGCCCCGCGCCCGTTGATAAATTTTGAAAGGAAACCGTGTCAAGAGTGCCCGGTATCAATTCTTGGGAGGCATAAACCGCAGAAAACCGGACACCAGCGAGTTTCTTTTTCTTTTAAACTTCTTGTGGTCCTCACAAACCGCAGCAGGTCCCAAAACGGTACAAGTAGGACACCCCCCCACCCCACCCCCAGCCATCCGCCTGCTCTTCCCAGGAGCAAACGCCGAGCTCCTCCGGGGAATCTTGGCTCCCTGGCCTCGGGCTCCTTTGCAAGTGGCCTGGGCCTGCCCGGGGGCGCCCTGGGCGGGCCGGGGCCAGGGCGGCGGGGAACTTTCCCCGGCCACGCCGGGGAGACAATGCCGAGCCAGGCCCGCGCCCGCGCCTCCGCTCAGGGAAGGCGCCCTGCTGCTGTCCCGGGCTCTCCGGGGAGGGGAGGGGACGCTGCGCCCCGGCCACCCTGGAGCCTGTGCGGGGCAGGCCCGCCGGGCGCGCCGCTCCGCCCCCCCCCCGGCGCTGGGGGCGCGTGGTCCCCTCGGCGGCCGCGGGCCCCGCACGCTCCCCGCCCCGGCCGGTGCCCGCCTGTGAGGCCCCGAGGGACCCGCCAACCTCCGCGCGCCGGTTCGGGCGACCCCGCCTGACCGGCCCGGCGCCCCGCAACTCACCGGGACCGGGCGGGCCGCTGGGCATTATTCCATCGCGGGCTCGGCCCGGCGCCCGGCGCTCGGGTCGGAACCGGACTGCGGCGGGGCGGGGCGGGCCGGGTGCCCGAGCACGGAGAGCCGCCCGGGGCGGCGAGGCCAGGCAGGCGCGGGAGCTGAGCGCGGCGCAGGAAGGGGCGGGCGACCATGTGCCGAGGGGGAGGAGGCGGGCGACGGGCGGCTGGCTAGGCTCGGCCCCGCTCGGCGGGCGCGCAGGGCGCGGGTTTCAGGAAATCCAAATACTTCGACCGGAAATCGGAGTCCTGACTAAGCGTTCCCGGCCGGCGGCTCCGCGCCGGGGCTCCCGCCGCCTTAACCCTTGGCCAGCCGGCTCGCAGGCGGGGCGCGGGGCAGGACAGCCCGGGCCACAGCCCCCGCCCGCGCGGCACCTACAGTTGGGAGGCTGGGATTTATTCACCCGAAACCTTGAGCTTTCGGGGGCCGGGACCCCGGGAACGATCCGCGGCCTCTGCCTGGTCCTCCAGAGTATGGACTTGCAGTCTCCTGGCGTTTCCCGCTTCCCGCCTCACGGCTTCCTCTCCACTCTTTTCCTCATTTCTGCCCAGTGCCAGGGCTTTTCGGGTCAGGCTAGCACAGTAACGTACGGGTAGGGTAGTATGACTTCGGGCTCTGACCCCGGTGGGGACATGGCTTTTGCCTTTCTGCTACCGGTGAGTAAATCACTTAACTTCCTTGAGCCTCAGTTGCTTCAAATACGAAATGAGTATTGATACCACCCTCACCGGTTTGATTTGGAAAGCAGAGGTTTGGACAGGAACTGGCACATTGGAAACGCTGAAATAAATGATAGTTATGCTTGTCCTTTTATTATCCCCACGAAGAGAGGTCAGAGATAGGAGGATTTGAACTTGTGGACCGTGCAGTGTGCATATCTGCATGCTCACAAAGCCAGGGACAGCACCTGGGAACCTCATTTCCCTCCTAATCACTGGGTGAGGACTCCAGAAACTGCCCTCCACAGAGGACATGCTAAGAGGCAGCGGCGGCGGAAGACCCCCTCCTGGTGAAATCTGAACCTCAGCAAACCTCCAAATGCAGGATTCTGTGCTTGACCTGAGGATGGGGACCCGGGTGAGGTTGGCGGGGTTAGTCAGTCTGACTCGCCAGTAAGAGTGGCAGGCAGTGGCTGTGGCTCATTGTGGTTTCCCACAGAAATGCTGCACGTGGGGGGTTTCTCCCTGCAGGACGCAGCTTGGTGGTTTGGCTCCAGGTGTTTCAGATCCTTTTGAAACCCAGACTTTGAAGAAGGAAGAACATGCCGATGAGTGATAACTGAAATGAGTATGCTGGGAACTGAAATTCGGGTACCAGCTCTTCAGCAAGCCAAGCAGACTCTCCCAGAAGTGGTAGGACAGGCTCCTGGCTGGACACCAGAGTCCTGCCCCAGGCCCTTTATGGTTGCTGCCTGTCTGTCTGGAGGCATCTCCCCATGGCTGCTTTTGGCAGATAGCTCAGATCCCTGAAGTCAGTCCCACAGAAGAGCTTTCCCAATCGTCTGATCTGCTTGCATCTCACACCTGTACCCCACCTCCACCTCTCCCACACATCACATGCCCCGTTTTATTGCTTCACGATCTTTCTCACTATTTGATTGATTTGGTTGCTTATTTCCCATTCCTCCATGGGTAGGCTGTGTTACAGCAGGATCATTGGCTGTCTCTATTCCTGCGTCCCAGGCTTGAGAACAGTGCTGGCCCATAGGAGACCTTCAATAAAGGCACATTGAGTGAACGAAAGGGGCAAACAGAACTAGAATTGTGATTTTGACTCCTATCCGAGGCAGGACAATTCAATGGGAAAGTTCAGCGTAACGGAAGACGTGCCAGGCGGCTCTATTAATGGTCCTGGAAAGTTAAAACTATAAGTAATTAAGTCTGGCAGATGAGGTAACTGTAGTCTCATTGGTACAGTCCCAGTTAATTACTCCTTCCTTTGTAAGTCCCTAGCATTTCTGTTCATTAAAGACTATTTATCACAGGCAATCTGTGCTCCCGAGGTGAGTGCATTCCTAAGTGAAACTCTGAGATGGAGGGAAGGAAAGGGTCCCCATTTATTGACTGCTCGCTCTGAACAGGATGCTGAAAGCAAGGTGAAGTATTATATCTAGGTGCTTGTGGGGCTGTGCAGGGCATGGGGGTGGCAGGTAGAAGATTAGAAAATACTTCCAGGAACTGGGTGGGTTGTTCTTGAATGGAGATTCAAAGAAGAGATGGAACCCATCTGGGTAAATGAGGGGCACAGGCCCTGCTGGGCAGAGCCACAAGCCCATTATGGCTGATGGTGGCTCCATGTTCTGCCTCCTAGCTCACCTGCAGCTGCACTTTGATGCCCTCTGTCCAGAGGATCTGTCCACCTGAACCATGCACCTTCCTCCTCTTTGGCTGGGGCAATGGGATTTTGCCCAGCCTGCAAGGTCCAATACCCTGGGGCAAACCCTAGCCCATCAGTGGATAAATGCCTCAGCTTTCCCTTCCCCTTGCATTAACACATTCTGTCACTCCTCTCTGTCATACTTTCTCCCTCCTTCGTTCTTTTTTTTTCTCTTTGTACCAGGACTCGAACTCAGGACCTTTCACTTTTGAGGCAGGCGCGGCCTCCTTTGTTCTTCTTGGGATCAACTCCCAAATAAAGCAGCTGCACCTAACTCCTTGCCCAAGGTTTTGCTCGCAGGGAATCCAGTTCAGAGTGGTATTCATTCATTTACTCACAGACAATGGCTAGGCACCTCCTCTATGCCTGAGCCAAGAATAAACTTGAGCACGTGGTATATTCGGCTAATTGTGCAGTTCAGCATGATCTGAAGAAATGGCCCACATTAAGAATGGAAAGAATGAGACTAAAAAGCTTTTGTGCCATTTTACAGTGGGGTAAACCGAGGCACCACCATGATGAGTAACTTCCCCAAAGCCAAACAGTGAGCGGAGGAACTTTCAAGTCTAGGCTCTTACCACCCTCTTCTGCCTTTCCTGGTGGTTGGAGCTCTGGGGGTAGAGTGGAATCCACTCTTGGGAATTGGAAAAGGTGACAGGAAGAGAAATGGAAAAAAACAGGGGTCAAAGGAAGAAATTACTTCCTTGCAAATGCCCCAGAAAATTCAATCCACTAAGGATTGGAAAGCAAGCATCCATTGCATTTGACAGTTGCAAGAAAACTTTTTGCCAGAGCTGTGTTGATGGAGGGAAGGGATCAGAAGCCAGATTGCAGTGGGTTGAAGAGTGAGTGGGAAACTGCAAGTGTAGACAACCCTTTCCAGAAATGTAGATGTCTAGCAAGTGGGCGGCAAGGCTGGAGGCTTCAGTAAAGGTTGGCAGACGTGCCAGCATCTGTGGGTGATAGGAAGGTCCCAGGGGAGAGGAGCAGCTGCAGAGGAAGGGGCAGGCTCCCGGATGGGGCAAGTCCTGAGGATGAGGGAAGTGGGTTCTAGGGAGCTGAGCTGGAGCAGGCCCACCTTGCCCACTGCAGTTGGTGGGGGTGGGAGCAAGAGGAAAGGCAAAGAACGCTGAAGTTCGTCATGAGCTTCTCCTGGATTCACGGACTAGGAGTGAGGTGGGTCCTTAAAGTCCCTTCAGTTTCAGTCCTCGTGAAATGCATGCTCTGGACCGTCAGATATGGATGAATATAACTAACGTGACTGCAGCCTCATGACTGGAAAAGATCGCGTGAGGAGCTATTTTGGCCCAAAGTAGGTTAGCGAAGCAGGTAAGGCGAGGCTGAGCTGAGTCTTGGGAGCCCGAGCAGGCACCAGGCAAGGTGTGCTGGCTGGCGGTGGGGGTGCGCAAGGAGGGACAATGGCGCTCACCTGTGAGGAGGAGGAGGAGGGTATTTTTAACCATGATACAGAGCGCGGAGGAAGATAAGTTTCTGTTTGTGCTTTGTGCAGAGAAGGCAGTGGGTGGCGGGGTAGAGTCTGAGGCTCTGCAGGGCTGGGGTGGGGGCCAGGCTTGAGGGTGGAGAGGGGGAGGCAGAGGAATCTGCACAGTTGGTGAGAGGGGGAGTTGGTACCTAAAAAGGCAACACCCTTTAGCAGTCTCTCCCTGTCTTGCTTCACACCGATTGCTCCAATAGAGTTTCTCATTCTCGGCACTGTTGACACGTTGGACCAGTTCACTCCTAGTTGTAGGGGTTTCTCATGCACTGAAGGATGTTTAGCAACATGCCTGGCCTCTCCCTACCGGATGGCTGCCACACCAAACCTCCAATTAGGAGAACCAAAAATGTCTCCAATATTGCAAGTGTTTCCTGGTGGCAAAATCGCTCCCAGTTCGGAGCCACTGTTCTAATATGTTTTCCTCAGATTATTGTAGATAGGTAAGTTAGAGATCTTGTAGGCAGTTAGACAGGACCACCCTCAAGGAGCCAACACGGGGGACAGTCCAGGAGCCAACATGGAGAACAATTGAGGCACATTCACTGGTTAGGATTATAAAAAAGAAAAGAGGTAATACTTCTCGAGAGATGAATGTTCTAACTGGGAAAATTCCTTCCATATGGCTTGTTTTCCCATTTGATCCCATTTAATCAGTATTACCTGAGTGACTGTACCTGTAATCTTATTGGTTGATCATGGTTTTGCCCCACCTCATGCCCACCTTGTAAATTTCCATTGGGTCTTACAGTTTTGTCCTACTTTGTACCCACCTCACCTCATGGCTTTGCTGTATAAAACACCTTTGAAAAGCAGGATGGGCAGGCGACCCATTTTCCAGGCCCCCTTCTGTCTCTCTTAGAAGGTACCTTTCTCTCATTAAATTTTTCTTACTCTTAACCTCCATTGTCCCTAGAATTCAGTCTTCAGTTTTAGAGTACGTGAACTCATGTTTTGGATATCTAGCAGATTTAGGAGTTACATCTATTCCTCCTATATCAAGATCACTTCAGAATTGTTGAGTGAACCTTTGAATTGCCTATTTTAGTAGAAGCACTGGCTCCCACTTTCAAAGCCTGGCTCCACCATTTCCCTAGTTGATGACTTTGTGTGGCTTTCTTCTCTTCTCTTGGTTACTATTTTGTTGTGTTTTTTAAAATCT